GGCAGATTGGCCTCTCTCGGCCACCCATTTCCCGGATTCCGGATTCTGCTCCTGTAGCATGCCTAGAATCTATGCCAACTAGTCTACCTTCTGCCTCTTTTCAGTGCCCTCCTCCCTTGCGCATTTGTCAGCCTTGCCATGTAGCATTGTCTCACACTAGTGCAGCTAAACACTTCATGGAGTTACTCCCACTCCCAGATAGTTCTGCCAATCCGAAACCCTCCTTTGCTTCTGGATCTAAGTTAAATGTTGAGGTTATAGATCCGCTCCTCGAGTTTAGATCAGATGAAAATACTTCAGTTGCTCCCCTTGTCGAGAATTGCACGTTTGGTATACTAGCAAATCCTCAAAACTCGTCTTAAGACATGATTCCAGCTTTGTACTCTCTTTAATAGAAGACTCACAAATGCAAACTTTTGCTCCCAATCATTCGCACTTCGAGGCAAAATAGAGAATGACTTGGCGACCTTTTTTTCATCAACTGGTCATATTGCACAGGCCTAAATTCCCATCTTTTCTGGTGTCTTCGTCAATCCGCTAATACCCAGACTTTCATAGCTTTTCACTAAAGTTTCTTCCTATATTATTTTCCCTCCCTTTCCTCGCCTCACGAAGAATACCCAAGCTATTTTTGCCTCTAAGAAGAACGCAACAACAGACGAAACTGGTTTTCTGCCTGTCCATCTAACATGGATGAAATTAAGGATATCAACTAATGATAATATGCCTAAGTTACTTCACTGATTATCACCACCGGGCGAGTTGGTAGTAAGGGTTACCCTGTGGACCAGTTCAATTCCTATCGTTCCAATAGCCACTGATTGTCTTGTATGCCTTAAACCTTCATGCGTTTTTGAGATTCAGGCTTTATGAGCATCAAAAGCAGCTCTCTGGTCAATTATTGTAGACCTCCACCGGCTTAGCTATTACTTATATTTTGGTGTCTTTTGACTCTATTCCATTAAAAGTTGATCTATTTCCCTCATTTATTTTTCATCCTTATATCTATACTTCCTTGATAGCCAAACTAAGCTAGCTTACTCGAAACCTGTGGCTCTTTTTCCAACATCTGACTAATTTAGATGGTGTAGTGCATATGGGACCCCTTCTTATTCATCAGCCACTGTCCTTCACTCCCCAAACTAAATCGCAATTTTTCCATACCTTTCATCATCCCTTCAGCAATATCCAACTAATTCTGATTTATCCATGATTTTATCATACTTAAATTCTATGGCCCTTGCGAATTATAGTGGGCTAGTTTATTGGACTATTTATTATTCCGTTTCGAGTCTTTTTTACCATGCC